TTTGGTGGATTTTAGTGGTTGAATGAACAGTTTCTGATGAAAACTTTTCACTGGAGAGTTTCTCACTGGCTGAAGTCACTAGAGGAGTTACTTCAGAGCTGTACAATATCAGTGTACAACCCAGCCACCCTGATCATGCTCCTCCCTTAAAAAAACTGTGGTCACTTTTTTTTTTTTTTTTTGTCTGCAGCTGAATTAATCAGCAAAGATTCAGTGGAAGTGGTGACAGTAAATTGCATAAGCTATGTGTTGCCCCAAGCCTGGTCTAAATTAATCTTCTCTGAGCTGTATGTCCTGAATTAAGATCACCATACTGGCCTTTCCTGTAAATATTGTAGAAAATGTGGAATACAAATACCATGTGAAATACAGCATCAAAATAAATGATCTGTTGCCTCATCTTTAACACAAAACTTGCCTCATAAAAACTGAAGGAGGTTTTCATGCTTTTGGAAATAGTTACTAATGATCCCTCATAAATTAACCCTTCTTTCTGGAAGTAGAAACCAAGGTAACATTGTTGGTTGCCATCAAAAAGTGGTGTGCTGTACCATTTACATCACTGGTCAGAAAATCACATCTGGACAGACAAAGCTGCGTCTGTTACCAAGGTTTGTTTACACAGCTCTCACTTAGGGTAGATTTCTCATTTATACAGGTGTTGAAACAACCCAGCAATGAAAATAGACAGAGTAAATATACCATCAAAAATAAAAAAAGAAATAGATACCAAAACCCAAATGGCTTTCTCTGACAGTGCTGAATGTACCATCTGTTTCCATTGCATTATAAATTTATATAGGACATTACTATGCAGTGCTGTTTCTGGGTAGCTTCTCATTTGCATTTGCTTTTGTTAAAAATGGGCACAACTGAAACCCAGCAGGCTGGAACCACTGGGCTTTGGAAAGAGGCACTCAGACCAGCCCGAGGTGCTTCAGCCTGAGCCTGGAGCCACAGCTGGATGGGGCAGCTGCCACACACCTATCCCATCCGTGTTAAAGCACAGCTCTGGATCCAGGCACCCCATGGCCCGTCAGGTGCTCAGGCTCCTGCTCCCACCTGTCTGCTTTTATTTATTTTAGTTTGCACTTTAACAAATGACTCATTACGATGACACAAGGCTTACCACCCAGCTATGCCAAAAAAAGAACCATAAAAAGACCCCATGTAATCATTTGACTCAGGCAGGCAATGTGCAATAGCAGCAATAAGGAAACTTCCAACGAGCACCAAGAATACAAACTCGGTTGTCTTCGATTAGTTCTGTGCAAGAAAATTAAATTACCAGAACACAGAAGGATAACTATTGGCCATGGCCATGATTGTGATTAATCTCAATGTAAATCACCATCCAAAGCAACCTTTCATCCTGTGGCTGGAGGAAACCGAGTTACAGCTTTCTCACCCTGTGTGATAGTCCAAATCACTTGCAGGCAGAAATGGAAAAGCCAGAGAGCTTGTCAAATGTGAGTTGGTGACATATTGTCTCTGCTGGACTCAGTGCTGGGCAAGAGCAGATGTAAATGAAACTTCTCCCTGACATGCACTACTTTCCCTGCATTAGCAGTTTTGGATAGGCTTAAAAGACAAAAGATGCAGAGCCAGCTCCAAAAGGTAGATGTCTGCGGTGGATGTGTGTCTCCATGAGGAGATGTATTTGTGGAGCAAGGATTTTCATGCTTTTGCTTCACAGCACAAGGAGCTTAGATGTCTACTTTATTCCAAAAAGGAACAGCTATATTTCCTGTCCTTTAATAAAACTGAAATAATATTTTATTTGGTTGAGTTGTCTCCATCACTGTTAACTTTAAGGGCTTCTGAAAGGAAGAGGAAGGAGAAATCAGCAAAGATTGAATTTGTTCAAAAAAAGTTCTTGCTGTACTATTTGAGCACGCTGCTGTGTAGGGGTGCTAGAATCAGTGTGAATGCAAAGCCTCCTGTGCTCTCTTATTTGTATTTTTGGTAATCAGAAAATTTTTTCAAAGATACAATCAAAGCAAAGTTGAACCCCTCTCATATCTGTGGGGTGCAAAGGATTGTTTGCACAATTTCTGAGAACCATGGCAATAATATCCACACCTCTGCAGACCAGTAGGAAATGTAATTTTGACACCAGGTTGGTGATGTGCATGGGATGAGGGCTTCTGCTGGCTTGCCACAGGAAGATTTAGATCCATCTTTCCATATTCTGGGCTTCAATAGCAGCCTGGGAGTCACTGGCTGTTAGATCCTGCTTGTGTCTCCAAGGCTGGCAGGACAAGCAAGGAGAATACTCATTTGTTGTTCTTATGTTCTCCATCTTCTGTTCGTGTAGACTTGAAATATCTGGGTTCTAGGCTGCTATGGTATAATGTTGCATTATATGTGGTATTGGGAAAATCCAGATAAACACAGAAATAACAGATATTTGGAATTTACTGCTTTACATTCAGTAAAAGATGCTGGTTACTTCTCTATATTATTTGTTAATGAAATGGAATTTTTCCTTGTAAAATTCTCAGCTGGCATTTACTTGTTGATCAGGCCACTACTTTTTAACATTTTGAGGTTGTATTCACCAAAAATTTGGTATTAATGGATTTACATTTTTTTCTTTACACTGCCATGCCTCACTGATAGACTTCCAGAGAAGGAAGAGCTCAAAATTGATGTATTCATTGAGAAACTGCAGAATTAAGCCTGCTATGCATTTGCTGCAAAGAACCTGGAAGTATAGAAGGCAGAGAATCTGGAAGCAGGAATATGATGAATATAAGGTAAAATCAGCATTTCTGGTAGATATGTAATGTTACAAATTATTGTGAATAGCTTGGTAGTTTAATTTAGCCACAGGTTTGTGACAATATGAGGGACCTCAGCCTTGACTATCCTGAGATCATGCAATACTTGGTGAAGGATTATTCAGCCGTATTTCCTGTTCTAGATTTGCTGTTCATAAAAATGGTAGCCAAGTTATACTAAAGACTCAGAATCTACAGAGAGAGATTTTTCCCCCAAGTAGAAACTAAAAATCAAACAACTTTCTGTCAGTGCTAAAGCGGTTTAAAAGTCATATTGATCATATTGAACAATGAAATTGTTTATGTTTATGGCTATCTTACCCATCAAAAAATTATGTAGAGAAAATAAATTTTCATAAATTTCTATGAGGAGAAAAGAACTCCTCATAGCTGTTGACAGCAGCAGCAAGAAAGCAGACTTACATTGATAATTTACTAGTTAATATTTTCTGGGGGACCACCTTAATTTCTCTCTCTTACCTCCAAAATACAGATGTGAAAGGGCAGAAGATTTGCTGCCACGATAAGGAGCTGCCAAAATATTTCTCTCTCTTGCATACAAACTACATCAACCTCTGGAGTTCTTAGCAGCTGGGAATAGCTGCTCACTGTTGAAAATTCAAAATAATCAATTTTCCTTTTCAGTGGATGTCTCTTTTCCCCCATATAGCCTCCAAAGAGTTGGAGAAATAAGACCTATGGCAGATGTATTTCAAGGTGAAATAACTCTACAGTGTCTTGTAAGCATTTTTCCAGTTTCTGAAGATGTTGAGGTGTGCATTGTGTCTCTCCAGCTATCCAAGAAAAAGCCACTTAGCACTGCAGCTTGGCAGGGTCATCCCAGGAGATAATGCCACAATTTACTGCTGCCTCACTCCTGTAGAATGCTCCTTTGGAAAAGGAGAAGGTGTTTGGAAAGTTGGAAGGTCTTGTACTGCAGCCACAGCTGTTCTGCAGAAGTAATGAGAAAGGTCTGAGCTTTGCAGGCTCTCAAAGCTGTATCTTTTACAAGCATTAGGAGAAAACCATGAACTTGAAATCTAATTCTCAGAAATTTTAGAAGCATCTGGCCTCCTGTAAACTGGTTTACAGTTTGTCTGGATAAGCCGAGGCTGTTTTTCATGTAATGAGTATTTTTTGGCTTCATGAGGTGTAGGACTAGAAATAGAATCATAGAATGGTTTAGGCTGGAAGGGACCTTCAAAGGCCATCTAGTCCAGCCCTTCTGCATGAGATGATAAAACCACACAGAAGATGGCTCTGTTGGGATGTGGGAAAAAAATAATGTTGGGACTTACCTGTTTATTGTCTGCCTTGGTTAAGTGCTCCTGAATTGCAAAAAAACAGATCAGAATATTTCTTTTTTTCATATGTTTTTGGTGATGCCAACTCTGATTCTTTCCTTTTGCTGTGATTTCGATTATAAATATGCTTACCAGTTTTTCTTCCTGCAATTGTTTCTATAGAGGGCTGGGATTTTTCTTTCAGTAATGGGAAAATCATCCTCAGCTATTTAAATGTTTTGGACATTTACTGAGCACCACTTTACTCTGTTGAAATTTTCTATGCTATTTGATACTTATTTTTAGTTTCATCCATTATTTTTCACTTGCTTTAACAATCACAGTGATTTATGTTTCCCTCTGCTTTCAAAATGTGTATTTTTGAGGCAGATTTTGTTTTGAAAATGTTTAAATGCTTGAACTTATGGGAACATATCAAGACTATTTTGTATAATCTATTTCTCTAGGAAAAATGTGGAATATTTAAGCTATTTCTGAAATTGCATCAGGGGAGTTTGGATTAAGTCTATATGTACATACACACAGTAAGCAGTGTGCTGACAGTTTGCTTGTAGGGCTCCAAATGTGTGTGCTTAAGTGCTTGCACATTTTGATGGCTTTGCTGAAATGCATAGCTGAACAGGTCCCCCTTCTCAAATTGGTTTTTGCACAGTGCAAGTCAAATTTAAATTTCACAAAATTATTAATTGCTAATTGAGGGCTACTGAGAGATGACAATGTCCTAGATGGTTACAAATTTCTTCCAGTGTCACTGTCTATGCCTCTGCTCCAGTGCTCCGAAATGAGTCAGTAGTCAGCTTTAATTTGTTCGGTTTAATTAAATTCCACCTGAATAAATGTGTTGCGCAAATGCTGAAATTTCCTGGGTGATGTATGCAGCTGAGATCTAATTTGATCTACGCAGCCCTAGATTGTAGCTACTCTCTTCCAGAAAGGCGTGCTCCATGTAATTACTTAAATAATAACTCAGATGAACTTGTAAGGATAATTATATAAAGAAGGCAAAGCAAAACTGCACACAGAAAACTATTTTTCAGCGTGTCATCATTATTTTTAGAATTACAAAAAAATCATTAGCACACTAGAAGCATATTTCACTTTCAGAGCACAGTCTTGTTAAGTGTAGCAGCTTGTTTACTTATCCTGATACTGTCCTGTACATATTACATTAATTAAAGTAGTGCTGTAGTCAGATAGGACAGCATTCTCTGCTGAAATGTCTTGCCTTTTGTGGAACGACATTGATGAATTGTATTTCTGTGTATGATCAGTGATGTGAGGAACTGAAATAAATGCCTGTCCTTCTCTTTCACATATAGTGCAAAATGGATGAAAAATCCTCCCTCTCTCCCGAGTCTCCTGGCCCTGATGACTGAGGGAAGTGTGCTGCCCAAAATACACATCAGTCAGGTAAGCAGGGCTCAAAGGGGCTGGGAGCAAAACTTATCTCTTCCAGACAGTACAGAAATTCCTTTTCTCTTGCATTGTATTTTACAATATTAACTCTCCTTCAGGACCTGCATAAAGTTCACTCTGGTGTATGATTTTACAGTACCTTACTGTAATTTTTAAATCAGTGTAATTCTCTGAGTCCTGCCTTGCTGGAAATTTGCATGGATTTCATTTCCTTTCTACTTGCTCCTAACATAATTTTCCTGTTACTTTTATGATTTTTTTTTTCTTTTGCATCTTTGTTTTTCAAGTTCTGTTTAATCTAGGACTAGGGGCAGATAACTGACGAATAATTTAGGAGGTTACTCTACTCCCACTATTTATGTTTATCTAAATTCCTATAGGTCAGAAATTTCTGTACTGCTGTAGATATATATATTTAATACATATTCTCACTATGGTGATATTTTCATTACAAAGTTAAATAAAACTTTCCTACACTTTTACTGAAATTTGGAGGTGGACACAAATGTTTTCATAATTATAAAATATAGAACAATTAAAATGTATTGCTAAGAGACAAGTCCTAGATAATCTTTTGACCTTCTGACACAGAAGAATGAGTCTAAGGTATGGAAAATGCTTGTGTTTCTATAAAATTCCATCTTTATTTACATAAAAATAGCTGTGAATTTAATTTTGTTTTAATTTTCTTTTCATATGTGAGAGACCCTTGAAATCGCGATTGGTAGAGACATAAAATTTCACAAAACCTTTTATTTGCATGCTGAAAATAAAGTCCAAATTATTGAGGGCAGGATTTGGAACAATAGGCTGAATCCACAGATTATGTCTCCCAGGAACTTTTCCAGATTTCCACAGGTCTCTTTAGCTTTCTGCACCTTGCTCACCCTCCAGTGTAAATGCCATTTTGCACATGGGGCACCCCCAGGGGCAGTGGGAAGATGGAAAGAAAGGAGGGTGTACACTGCAGTGTGCATGCAGAGAAGGAGAAATAAATAACAGGGGACAGTGGACAGAGCACTGGGTAGCCTTCCTACCTGGCTGGATAGACAATAAAGCCCTGTGGTTTAATAACCAAAACTTGCAGGTTGATATTCCAAGAGGAGTTTGGAAGTCAGTGACTGCTCTCAACAGTTGCTTCACCAAGAAAACAGTGAAAGACTTGAAACTATTATTATGCTTTGTGTTAAGAAAAATTTGGTTACTAGAAACAGGACCAAATTCAATTCCTAGAGTAAAGTAATAAATATTGGGTTTAGACACCACTGAGAGATCAGTGAAAATTAAATTGTAGGGGTGCTCAGAGAGCTCCATTTTTCAGTATTTCCTCCCCAAAGGGCTGTGTGCTTTTGCATTGGATTAGGGCAGCCACTCCACCTGAGGCACATTTGGTTGATTCACTCAGGTGACAGTATTCCTCCTCCCTGAGCTACATCCTGTTCCCCACTCCATGACATGACTATTGGTTTTGTTCTTTATAGAACTATTAACAAAAATGAGAAAAAATCTATTACTGTGTTTAACTTCCTATTTCTACTTTGTTCTCCCACTTCAATACAATTTTCTGGAGTAATTTAATAAGTCTGTAAGAAATAGGCGAAAGTAGATTTTTCCCAGTGCATCCATCTGCTTTACTAAGAGGTGTGGGGTTAGATTTTATTTTAGTTGTTATGTCCCTTAAACCTGCATCCACGCTGCACTTTCTCAGCATTAATTTCACTCTGGTTTCCTTTCTGAGATTTACTGGGCATCATTGGAGACACACCTGGGTGCTCCATGTTTTTTGTATCCACCAGGAGGGAAAGGGCTTGGAATGATAGTTCTGCTAAAGAATGACAGAGGACACCAGTTAAGGACACAAGACAGCTTCTCTCTCAAAAGAAACCCTACAACAAACTAAATGAGTGATGTAGCTACACCCACTGAGCTTTCAAGCAGCTAATTTTAATTTTGGTTTGTGGCTTACTATTGTGTTTATTAGGAGCTTCTGGGAAAAAAAGATTCCCCTGGTTACTGCGAGTTAAAACATGACAAGTGCTGCATGTGTTTATAATTAGGTGGTCAAGCTCAGCTGGATGTAGTTGGCAAAGATGGTAAAGAGCTTAGGACAGAAGAAAGGAGAAGGATGAAGTGCTGGTGCCTTGCTGGATGTCACTGGATAGGGGTGCACTTGCAGCTTAAGGAAGGGGCTGTGACATGGCCAAGGAGACAAGGGAGGGTGTGCACAACAGCTGAAAAAGGTCTTGGGAGTTCTTGGACACCAGAAGAGAATCCTCACCTACAAATTTTAATAAAGGTCAATGTCTTGTCATTTAACCCCTCTATAAATATAGATGTCACCACCACTTGGTACTGAAGAGAGGAATGTAACAATGTTCTAATGCTCTAATTAGGAGAGTACTTTTCTAGCTATGCTAAAGCAGCTTCCTTACTTTTCTTTCTTTGTAATCTGTTAATAACTGTGACATTTTTCTTGGCTTCAACTGTGTGTCCCTGAAGGCATGGTGAAGGCCCCCTGTGATTACAGCAATGGGAATCGTGTTGCTGAAGTGATGGTAACAGAGACACTTATTAAAATCTGGCCCCTGCTGTTTATAGCTTCTCAAGACTACACTTTGGCAAAATTTAAAATAGAATTAAACCATGCCTGACAACTAAAAATTATGCTATAGCCCAAGTGTTAGGTGAGAATTAGAGAAAGGAGTGTGGACTGTCACAACATCTGAAAGCAGAAGTGATGCTGCATTTCCTGATGGTGCATTTAACAGATCGCTGGCTTTGTGGCTGGTGCAGAGCAGATCTCTTGGCATACTGTGCACACAAAAATCACGTGTGCTGTTTGAATGTTTGCAAGGCATTCCTGGTGTTCATCTGCTGTTCTCAAGCATCAGGTGAAAATATGATGCCACTTTCTTAAAGCCTGTCCACCTGAACAGTATTTTAAATAAATACTCAACATGACATGTATCAGGACAGAACAAAATTGCTATTTGACTGTGACTGGTACATTTAAAATCCCCACTACATCACTGAGGTCTTTGTGATGGATCTGAAAATGACAGTATACTTGTCAAATTTTTATGCTGTGGAAAGAATTTTAATTATTTTAATTACTGTTTCTCAGTTACTGGGAAATATACGCAGAATATTTCATTAGTGCATCCAGCTGTGCAAATGAAATATATAATCAATATAAAATGGTTTTGTCATACCCTGTTTGAACAACGATCTATGATAGTTTAAAATTCAGAGGGTTCTCTTGTGATAAAGTTCTATTAATGCTTTCATTAACAAGAAATTACATTACAATGTCTGTGGGGCTTACTTCAGTGAAAGGACAATTTCTTTGTTGGTAATTTCATCTCGACATTACTCCCCTCTATTCAGCTTCCCAAAATGACATTTATTTAAAAATCAGCACTAATGCAGTAGTTAACCTTTCTCAATATTATTTAAGCAGATATTGCAGAGATACAATCACAAAATAATTAAACCTTGAAAACATCCATTTTACCCAGTGCTGCAAAAGTACAGCACAACTTCCACCATATTCTTTATTTCACAGATAGTACTTCTAAAATGGTAATAATGACTTGAAATGATAAAAGATAGTTGGCTGGCTGACATACAGACTGTGAGGATTATGATTTGTATGGAAAAGAAGCACATAAAGATATTGTCAAAGCACAGCAAGGCACAGGATTCTAATGTCCTTTATATTATTTATTTTATGCTAAAACTAATACTGAACCAGATATGAGGGAAGGGTTACATGACTGAAAGGTGCACAAATAGTTTACTCAAGAAAGCCCTAAATTTTCATTTATTTAATTTATTTTTTTTTGGTCCCAAAAAAGTCACAAAACAAATGTCTTCTCTTTTTGGGGGATAAAATCTGAGTGTTACCCCTCTCATGTAAATTATGTCTTTGCCTGGGGAAATCAAAGTGGCTGTGTTGTGCTGTGATCCATTGGGGAATTATGAATGACAGGAACTGGAAACTGAACTTCTACAGGATAAAACATGGGGAATATGCATTGATCTTGACTTGCAGCATCACTTCAGAAATGAGGTGAAAGTGCAGGGGTTTTGGTGTCCTCGAAGATTTTATTGCCATAAATCACTTCTTTAGTGTCTGCTAGAATTGCAAAGTTCTTGAAAATGGACACCTATAAAATGATTAATTCCTGTTATGCCTTACTTGAGTCTCCATTTATGAGGTTAGGTTGTTTTATTTGCTTGCTGGTCTTGACAGTCATAGTGGATAAAAACCTTCATTTTCCTTCACATGAAAGCTGAAATTCTTATCCAGTCACTTGATTCTAGGAGCTCTGATCAACTATAGGGAGACACTTAAAAACCAAATCCATAGAAGAGATATGGCTGCTTCTGCTACAGCGTTTTCAGTGAGAAGGAGAATGGTTCTGGTCTGTTATGACCCAGTGAATGAGAACAGATTCTGTGCTGCCCTAAATCCATTTTGATCTGCTTGTTTCAATAGATTGTAACGCTGTATGTGTGAACAAGCTGGAGACTCCTTTCCTATGGATAAATCCTAGTGTCACAGGTGGATGTTGATACCAGAATTGGTCAGATAGAAAGTTTCTAAGAGAGTTTTGAGTAGTGGGAAGCAGAAATTCATTATTGCAGCGTGCTGGGCACTCGGGGGATGCCTCCTCTGATCGAGCGCATCGGGCGCGTTTTTATCATCCACACGGGAGACCTGAGACGAGCATCCCAGAAAAGTTCTCTAGTAATTCCACATGGCTACAAGCTACAGAGGACCAGGCAGTCAGGGAATCATGCTGTTCCACCTCTGGGAATAAATCACACGGGACCCCATTTGCTTCGTGGTGGAAAAAGTCCTTCTTTACTCACCTAACTCCTTTTTTACAGCTTTACGGACCTCGTGTGGGACTCCAACTGGTTAGTAGTTTCTGGCCAATTACTTTTATTGGTTAGTAACAAGTTGTTATTCTGTGTTGACTGGTCACTCAAACTCTCTGGGTGTTTTTTGTGAGAGATAGTTTTCATTTTTCTACCTAAGTGCAAAAAGAGTTTATATATGTTCAAGTTGTTATTTTACCTTGGAATAGCTTGTTATGCTAATAAATTACTCACAAAAGGATTGCTTGCAAGATGCTGGCTTTGACAAAGGCACTGATTCCAGGAGAGAAGGCTTGATTTTATGAAGATTTTCTTTATGATTTTTCTACCTTACTGCAACAAGCACCTATAATTAAAAATCTGGTAGAACAGTATCACACCACTGAAAATTTTTGGTCTAAGCATGCAGTGTGCAGTACACAGAGAGGTCAGATGGCCAGCCTGCTGCCATCAGTTCTCTGCACTATTTTCATTCACATTATTAAAAAGCTGAAGTGCACTGCATAGTTCTTAGTTAATTTTTAAGAGGCAGAAAAAAATTGGTGAAACATAAAAGGCTCAAGTATCTACATGTCAACCAGACAACAGCACAGTGTAAAAAAAGCAGCAAAATATTTTATTAATATTTCAAGAAGATCTTGCTCTACTGCTCTATGAGGCTATCCTTTATTTAACCTTTACTGATGTTGTAGCAGCCTTGATAAGTGCCAAATATAAAAGGATGCATTTTCATTGTGTCTAGCAATCATGACATCATAGAATGAAGGTAAGTATTAGGAATTGGCATAATCTAAAAGCCTCTCAAATTAAAAATAAAGAATGCATATTTTTGTAGATGGTCATACCAGGAAAATAGTATTGGTAAATTAGTATCTGTCTCTGAACAAAGAGGACGCTTTGAAAGCAAAAACAGATATACCAATGCAATGAATACAATTAAGACATCAAAGGAACACCACAAGAATGATTACATCAAATCAAAAAGGTTTTAAATACTTTAAGGTGCAAGGCAGATCAAAGGCTTTTAAAGGTATCAAAATTGTGAAGCCTACAAGGAAAATAAGATGCTAAGAAGCAAAGACTAGTTAATGAAAATGTACATACAACCATTTAAAATGGAAAATTAAATGCAATGTTCTAGGATAAGCCAAAATATTTAGTGTTAATAATACTTTCATCTTTCATTAAATGAAATTAAAATATACATAAGACCTGAAAATTTATGATATTATTGAATTTGCCATCATGGTTATGCAGAATAAAAAGACTAACTTATAATTACTTAAACTTCCTTCAATATGAAAATAAAAGTAATAGAGAAAATGAAATCAAGGACAGGATTAACAGTGAGACTGCCTCTGACTTGGATCCAGGAGAGTGGATTTAAGCATTTTACTGGAGAATTATATTGATGCCAATGCTAGAGCTAGCTCAAATGGAACTCTGCTAGAGGAATACTTTATTATGTAATCATAATGGTGAAAAAAAATCCACATTAGGAACAATCTGTTATGTGAAAATATTTTGGTCCACCGAGGTAATTTTACAAAGCTTTATTTTATAAAATTATCATTTCCCCTTGCTACCTCTTAGCGCAGTATAGGCCTAGGTACTGTTAGTCCAGAAAATAAGATTTACAAATGTTTACTTGAGAAGGTGCTTTTAAACACAATTTGCCATTTGTTTTTGTATCCACAGCTCCAAACCCAGAAATTAGAAAGCAAAGGGACAGACCTTTAAGCTTATAAAATAAGGTTAATGTGACTTTTTTTTTTCTGTTAGGTTATCTAGACTAAGCTCCCAAATCATTCTATTGTCCAGCCCCAGAACACATTGTCTGAGAGTCCTGAAGACATCACTCAGTTCCTTTGGACCTGGGTCATGGCAGGATGCTGCTTCATATTCATCGCCCCGACAGTGCGTGTGGATCCCACATTTCCCTCCTTGGCACCCTCTGCTCCTTCCCTGCGCCTGTGGCTGCTCAGCATGGGACAGCAGAGTGAATTCTGCAAGGATAACTGCAGATAATTCATCCAACAAATTGGAGCAAGGGGACACATGGCATGAGGAGGGAGGTAATGTTTTTTTCCTGTTTTGAAGGTGTTAGGAGTACACCTGTGTTTTACAGACCGAGAAACTGGCAACAGAGGGACTCAAAAGCCACTTGGAGAGGCTGATGCAGTTTATAACCCTCTATTGGCTAATAAACAGATTAGAACTCCACAATTCCAACAAAGAAACACAAGCAGCATGAAAGTATAGTCTGTATCCATTTGTCCATTATCTCTAATGAAATTAAATAATGCATGTGGGACCACACGTTTGAAGAATAAATACACAATACAATTCTTAACAGTGAGAAGATTAAAACAACGTGGTTTTTTCTAAAGTTTTCATCCAGGGAAAAAGATCTTCCTGCTTGCTTCAGGTAAGATTAGCTGGAAAATTCCTATCATATACCTAGAATAAACTCTGAGAGGCAACAGGCAAATATTTTAATGCGGAATAATTTTTATTGGTTTTAATTAAGCAATAGCAATCTTATTGAATGCCTTTAATCTTTAATTACTACCCAAAAGTACTGAACATGACATGAGTTATTTATTGAGTCACTGAGAAATACAGTTTGAGATTTTCTTATGAATACTTCATACAGAAAAAACAGGTTCTCACTGAAAACAAGTGATTCTTGGAAATATTTGTGTTTCAGAGTCCTGATTTGAACCACGAGGAAGGCAACTGAAAGAATGTTGGGGGTTGGTTTTTGTCTGTAATGAGTGTTAGAGTTTATAGTAGCTAGAAAAATGTTTTTTTTAAATGAATGAATACGTCCCAAAAAAAATCAAAATCTGCCAGCAAAGAGTAGCCCTGAGTAAGTGATTGGGATTTATACAGGGACTAGGTTTAGGGTGGTGAGAGCCCAGAGCAGTGGGAACTGGGGAGGAGCCCAGTCTGCAGGGAGTTCCTGCTCAGGCAGCTGGGAGCAGCCTCAGGGTGATGCTGGTGCTGGGGCTGTGTGCACCAAGCCCAGGTGGGCTCCTCCAAAAGAGCTTGCAGTGTCCCCAAGCGTGAGAGGCTGTCTCTGCCATCCCCTGCCTGTGAACACCCCTTCTGATGAATATCGACTCTTCTATCTGTGGGATGGGGAATCGATTCTGTAATCAACTCTTTGTACTTCTGTTGGCATCAGCCCAGGTTGTAGGACCTCTGAGCCGAAAATCTGCCAGCTGGGAAGTTATAATAGGAAAAAAACAGCTGCTGTGTTTCATCCTGAAATCCTGGCCATACTGTGGAGCCCAAACTGTGATCTTAAGTTTTCCTTTCCTGGCAGAAAGCTTAAAGAGGCGTGAAAGTACCAATACTGCTTGATCACCACAGAGATCATGCCTCCAAAAACGTGCAGGGCTTCTTGAAGACTCAGAGATACCTCTCATATGTGGTCTAGGGATGCAATTTGAGCCTCTAGATAGTGTTTACCTTGCATGAGAAAAATCATCAGTCAGAAGGGAGGAGCCCACGCTCCAGTGAAATGTCGTTTTCTTTATTTAGAACCTGTTTTCAGAAAGGATGAAGAAATTTTTAAGACTTGATGAACACAAGATGTGCAACATTTCAGAGGTGAGAAACTTGTCTGTGTATCTACAGGGCTTGTTCATAAGGGTCTGCATCTAACCCTCCCTGCTGGAGTCAGTAATACATCTGATAAACCTTACATATTCAGCCAAACTCTAGCTAGTAACTTCTGTGAAGAAAAACACCCTATGAAAAGCCTTAAAAAAATACCCAGTTGTGTTTAATGTCCTTTGTAATTTTTAAGCAGGGACTCCTGCACAACAGAAACGAGAAAAACCAGTTATTTGAGTTAATAAAACCTGCTATGTAAGGGCTTTCACTGGGTTTTGACCTCTTTGGCTGTACTTTGGTTCAGGATTTTCAGCTTTTTACAAGATCAGATCCCAAGTATAAGTCTAAGCACTGCATCTGTGCCTACTTAATTTGAAGATAAAATAAAAAGAAGCATCTAGAAATCCCAATAACGTCAGCACAGGGGAGAACAAGATGGAAGTATTACCTTGGACTGCTTGTGCCTTGTGCTGCTGGCGATACCAAGTTCCTATTTTAAGTGATAATATGCCATTTTTTCCTTCCATGGGGAAAATGTTACCACATTGCTACTCATTGTGTGAATAGCTTGTCCCCAACCAATTTCCAGAACAATGTCTAACACTGGCCTGTGGAAGTTTCCTCCCATTGAAATTCAGAATGAAGTTTACTGCAGGAATGATATCTATAATCTGATTACTTGTCCACTGAAATTAAATTATAGCCCTCTATTCAGTTCATTATGCATGAAATTAAGATAGAATCCAGGAAAGATAATGGAGTTTCAGATGTGTGGAAGCGCTGGGGAATGGGAACCCAAGGTAGAGAATATTGTGGTGAGATTTTGGGAAAGGAAGTGTGTGCCATACAAGCTTTTGGAGTGAGACACAACTTTTTATGCCTCTTTTCTAAGTTGGCCAGGCACTGCAGTCAGTGTGTCATTATGCTTCAGTTAATAAATCCTCCTGCAAAATAGATGAGAGTTAATTGGGCAGGGTATCTTAGATCAGATAAACCAGGTCGGGACCTAGGGAGCTCAGTTTATCAGGACAATGGGCTAAAGATAACAGGGAGGTAAGGTTTTAAGAGATTCTAGAAAATAAAGTGAAAATGGAATTAAACACTGTTATATAGTCAGGAATTCTAAATGGAAATATCTCTGACGTTAATCAGTATCTCAGTGCTTAAGTTTGCAATATAACCTTTCTTTTAGCATTGGTTGATACAAATACTTATACATATATGTCCCTATCTTGGTTTGAAATGATTTTAGAAGAACACTCTGTAACTTTTAAAGTAAAAAGCAGATTTATAGGGTGTTATATAATTTAGGATGGCAAGTATATGACAATGGGTCTAGACAAGTATGTGACAGATGGAAGCACTGTAAAATCTGCCTTTATCATCATTTCACTTTGCCGTGCTATGGAGCTACTTGGTTTCATTTCCTCTGCATGGCACAATTAATTTAATTTCCAGGAGTCTTCTGCCTACATGTAGTGGCTTCCTTTTGATAAAGCAGAGACACAGAATTTCACTGGAGAGAGAGACATACACGGCTCTCTACTGAGCAATTCATTTTTGCCCTTAAGTCTTAGGATGGTTATGATTAAAAGAATACACTTCTCCCTTATGTACAAAAACTGTCTTTATAAAAATATACACACATATGTATTTGTGCAAGGGGTAATCAAGGGGTAGTGTACAAATTAATTATTCAAAATATTCTAATTGGCTATCCCAAGAAAGATGGTTAATCTTTGATTAGACTTCCTACTCATGATTTAGAATAGGGACATATTTCATGGTGTATAGGATAAATCTATCTTAGGTTTACAAACATTAGCTCTATTTCTAAAATTTTAAATGTGGTCTTAGATCCTTTGAGGAGTTTAGTATAGATAACCTTCTCATGTGTCTTTCAAATCTGAATATTGATGAGTAGTGCTCTCAATCATTTCAACATGAATATTCCTAGCCTACAAAAGGTAACAGTAGAAACCCATTCTACATCTAAAGAAAGATAGTAGCTTTGCCCACGTCTACAAGAAGATCTAAAAAATATGTTTTTCAAAAACATCAGTACTATATACATATGCTTTTATTACTGTATATTTGAATCTTAACCCACAAGATTACATATTATTTTATTATGGTCAGAGATTTCCACTGTAACTAAGTTACAAATACATTCTTGGACTTCGGTCTGCAATACAGCTTATGCAGGGCAACTACTCAAGAGTAACATTCACATTAAATATTGATAATTCTGATATTCACCAGTCAAATATTCAGAGGATGATGTCTCTATCTGTACAGCAGGTGCTTACTTAATGGCAGAAAGTGGTGGTCAGTTGAAGTTAAAATCAATGTTGATTTTTAATTTTCAACCACTTGTCCATTTAGCACCCAGCTATTTGGGAGCTGGATCTTTGCCACAGTCTCTTACACTCTTATCAAAAGGATGCCTTGGGGCTGATAGTGTCTAAAAAAAAAGAAAGTTTTCTGTAACATATATGTGTTAGAGATGTATCTCTATTTCTAATTTTTCTCTCTCCTTTGGGGCATGTTTGCCATGAGCTCTTAATTCTGTTGTTTCAACTTCAACATTTTCATTATGTGTTCTTGTTTGAGTGCCTTCTGGGAGCACGACTGCTTGGGAGATTTATATATTCTACAGTCTCCTTTCAGCTGCCATCATGTTAGTGGCTACAAGAAAAAGCCTGCTGGGCTGCTGGGTGTAGTGACATTTTAGGTTATTTGGCATATATTCCTGTTTCTTATTCAGGAACTGTAAAAACCTAATTAATATGAAGGGTGTTCTTATAGTCACCCCACCCCAGAAGGAAGCCTGGGGGTTTTGCCCCAAATACTCGTTTGTTCTGTGGGTCTATATCCAAAATAGCAGCTTTGGATCCAAGGTGGGAGCTGTGCTGGAGAATGAACGCTGCCAAGGAAAGGGGCTGCCTGGAGATCATAATAACTTCTATAGAAAAGCCATTACAATCAGGAATGCCACATCAGCTCCTCCTGATGCCCAGCTTGGCACGGTGGCACCTCTGTGGGACAAAGAACCACAGAGTTTCCTTTCCCAGGGTCATTCAGGGAGCGAGGGCTAAAAATGGAGCATAACTCTTCTGAGGCTAAAGTCAATGCACTCACTATTGCTGCAGTGGTGCTGGGAGGATATTGCCTGCTCCTGGGCACCCAGGAGTAGTTAAGGAGACAGAAAGCTTAGGCTCTTGTTTTTACAGCAGGGATGAAATGGCCTCCAAGGCGTCATTAAAAAGACCCTCCTGAAAAGTTCACATTTCACAAGATTTATATATGTATTGGCTTATTCAGAACTTTAATTAAAAATTGTACAAGGTCCTTTAGTTCATTAATTGAAGATGTTTCCCCTGTAAATGAGAGATTAATTTATGCCTGTTTTTAATTGTTGGATGCCACCACAATTGGTGCTGCATAAAAATACATACAGTACGTAAAATATGAATTAAAACAAGTGAATAATTATAACCACATCAGCCTAAAGGCAGGAGGCATTTTAATATCAGAGTCTGGTAATGGTGCATGAATTTAGAAGGATTAATTTTTCCGAGACAGTTCAGAAGTATTTAGCCTTTATTCTGCCCTTATTTAAAATGCCTCATATAATACATCTCAGTATTTTACATAATTTAAACTTTCATAAGACATTTTGTTCTCACTCGGTAAGGTTCTTCAACACACTGAAACACTGCTAAGATCTTAAGGCTACAAATCATAATCTTTCCAAACAGATCCTTTGTTCTGAGGCTTTGCATTGGTAATCAGTAGTATCAGTGCCTGTTATAGATCAGCTTCTCCCATGGAAATAGAAATACACCTGGATATGTAGGTAGGTGTGTATATTTAGATAAAGGCACTGGTCAGAACACCACAGTCACCAGACAGCTGAACATTAAAGTGCCATGGAGAAATGGCTGTATTCCTTACATCAGGGTATTATTTAACTACTTTGGGTGGCAAATATGCAGCAGAAAGCAGAGCTTGCCCCACTGGCAGACAAATCAGAGACAAGGTCCTGTGGTTTTATGTTCTCAGGAAATGGGTAACATGTATGGACTCTCTGCATGTTGAAGGACACATCCTACAGAGGGGCACTGCTTCAGCAGTGAGGCTGCTGACCATCAGCAAAGTATTTCACAGGAAGTGTAATTTTGAATCTTTTTCCAGTGGCTCTTCAACTGGAATTAACTATATAACTAAAAATAAGAGTGTCTAAGGCCTTTTCTAGGTTTGGCTCAGGTATTTCCAGGAGGCTTTGTAGCACTGAGGCCCTTGCTGGCCTGAGTGCATCACAGCAGATTGTATACTATATATATATATATATACACATAATATATATACACTATATATTATTATATTATACATTATATACTATAATTAATATATAAATATGACGTTATATATAACATAGTATAAATATAATATATTATATATATAATGATATAATTATATATATATATATAAATTATATATATATGTATATATGTATATATATATATATATATATAATGATATAATTATATAATAATATAATGGGCCTGAGTAAGTATCAGGAGGTTTTAAGAAATTTAGCAATAGAAGGAGATGTGGCAAAATGAAGACGAGTCCTAAGGCAGAAAAAAAAATAAAAAACAGAATCCTTACCAAGTGTAAAAGTTTCACAAGAGAGCAGAGGTTTTATTACTGTAATAACTCCATTATTAACTTTTTGATAGATGCCTTACATATGAATATTACCAGGAGATAGCCTGGATTCAAACTATTCTCAGAGCATGGAAACATTATTTCAGGTTCCTGAATGCATCTGTCAGCATATCCTTTGATCCTGATTTGTAACAGGTCTTCTGTTTCAGTTCTGGGTTTCTGGGTCTTTCCTCTACAGAGTCCTTGGACTCCAACAGATTACTTCAAAATACCCGGTAGCTTTGTGATGTGAACAAATATCTACTGAGATCAGATTCTTTAAGTTTTATATGAATAGCAAATTAGGCAGAAGGAGCTCTTGTATGTCAGCACATCCCACAGCATGTGAGTTTTCTCCACATTAGAAGGCAAATCACAATCAAAGAGCCTTACATGGATTTTAGATTTTGACCTTGGGCAGGTTACTGAGGCCCTCTGTGTTTTGGTTTGAAGCTGATTCTTGCATGTGCAAAATGCTAATATTCTGTGCATCAAGGTGTACGTATTTTTCTCTGTGTAGGAACATGAATCCTCGAGGTGACTATTTTTTTTCCCTTTAATTTTTTAACTTTTTTCTTTGTCTTGGCCACTGCTACACACACATACACCATATATATTTCCAATCCCTATGTGGATGTTTTGTTCTTATCTGCTAATTTAGTAGAAGTCATCACTCAGTTTGCAGAAGAGAGGTCCTGAGTTTTGCCTCTCTGTTTAAGCAGAATTCTTACTGGCTTTTAATCTTGGCTGCAACAGCTTTTTAACCCTGGAACTCACAGCCTGCCTCTCCTTTGGCTGTGAATGCTTCTCTTTCTCCCATGGGAGGAACAGTGCACTTTCTTTTCCCTCTAGAAAATACTCGTATGGCCCGAGAGGCTCTCTTTTATAGCAAATTTCTCACTCTTAAAACTATAGCTGAGGATTTCCTGCACGGTTTTGCACCTCTTGTGATATTATGAGGCCATTCAACCACCAAACTATTGCCCATTTGATGGTCCCCCAGAGTCTCCCACTCCAGGCCCCTGTAGGATTTGTTGACTTTACAAAGTGCTTTTGTTTATGTTTCCTTCAGCCTTCCCTTCCCCCTGCTCACGCTGCCAAGTGTTTCTAATGGAAGTTTTTTATCCTTTTTTTTTTTTTAATACGATTTTAGGTATAACAAAATTCTTTCTCTGATGAAAGGATAAAGGCAGAGTTGTCTGCTTAGCTAGCACCACCAGTCTCAGAGCCAGGCCAGACTTCTGCCAATGACCCCGAGACTTGAAGGAGCCAGGCTCAAAGAGAAGCACCCAAAAGGAAAATGGAAATCTACTTTTCTTGACATGTCTGTCAGCAAGCAGCAGAAGCACACCTTACCAGCATGTGGAGGAAAAAGTAAGTAGTTTGGGCATGACAAAAGCATGAGCTCAAAAAGCTGCTAAGCAGCTCCTGAGGAGAGCCATGTGGCTGATGAAAGACCTTATCCTCTTGAGATTTTGGCACAGAGCATTTGCAGGAATAAGGATGTTTCATCCCTGGTGATGAGCTACAAGTCTTGCAGAGGTGAGCAGCTGTCTCTGGATATCCTGTTTCCAGCATTAAAAGAGGAAAGATAACTGCTCTTTATTAGGTTTCTTTTGGTAAAGTTCGTACCTTTTCCTAAATTTAAGCAAACTGGGGAGAGAGGTTTCTTTTTTATTTATAAAGTTATGTATAGGGTTAATCAAGAATCCTTGTTAAAACAATGCATCCTTTTCCTGGCTTCTCTGGACAGGCTTCCTGGAATTTCTGGGTTTGCATCTTGAGCTTTCCCCCTGTATTTTAGGCTTTCCAAATTATATCTTACGGTTTGGATATAGTTTTTAACATTTGTAATAGACTTGTCTCCGCTGTGTCCACGCATAAAGGAGCTAATCCTCCATCCTGCTGGGGAGCCTGTCCCAGCTAGGAAGACAAGTTGTGTCTGGGATCAAGAGTTCAGACTGCAGCTCTCCAGAGGAGCTGACTGGTGACATCATGCCTTCTCTCAAAGCTTGTTTTATATAGTCATGGCTTTCCTTATTAGCTCCTTTTAATTCCTGACTCTCAGTACTGTTAACTTTATGTTGACTTTTCAGCTAGTTCTTTTAGCTTGTTTCTGAATCCAGGGACAGATTCTAATTTGAGCAGTAGTGCCTTTTTTTTTTTTTTTTTTTTTTTTTTTTTTTTTTTTTTTTTTTTTGCATGACACTANTTATTTGCTCAATGTCTCAATCAATTGATGGAAAAAAGGCAAAGAATAAATTATAAGACACTGTGCTCTCCTTTAATGTCCTAAAACCAGTGGGTGATGAACAGATATATTTGCTTGTATTCAGAGATGAATTTTATTTCTTTCTATTTCAGCAGGCAATGCATACTGATATTATTTAAAAAGCAGAAAAATACACATTATCCCATGAAATAATACTGTTTGCATCTAGGAAAAGTTGACTTAGTTGTTTGCAGTTTCCTGAGGTAAACATAGGCCTTTCTTATGCTCTTTGTGTTGAATGCAAAATTTATTTTAATTATTCTACCTTAGCTTGGATTGTCAGTTTAAATTCACCTGCTGAGTACGATCAACTGGTGTTGGCATCTATATTCATGCTTGAGATGTCCATATTCATTACTGGATTGTTTTAGCTTAACAAAGCTTGGAATTAAATGCAGCCCACAAAGTGAGCATTCATCATTCTGTGATGCACTGAGCCTGTGCTGCTAAAGGAAAGGATTGTTCCAGGCATTAAGTGTCCAGTGTGATTATGGAACTCAGACAATTCCTGGTGGAACCATTGCAAGAACAGCACCATTGCCATCTGTGTCCTCCTCAGAGGCTTCATAGCTGGGTGTTTAGCATTTCAAAAATCCTACAGATGTTGATGCTGCATTATTCATTGAGCCAGGAGCTGCCACAGCTGTGTGCTCTCCTGTAGATTCTTTCAAGCAATCTGGCAGCAGAGCCTAGTGTGAGCAGGGCAGAGTACAGGCTGCAGCTTTGATGGGCATGGCTCTGGTACTTGTGATTTGTGCCTGGCTGGCAAATTTCCAACCTCTGGAGAAGCAAGATGGGGAATTGGCACTGCACTCCAGCAGTTTCAGCGCTCCAGTGACAACGTAATGGATTGAAAATGAACATGCCTCGTGTACATCCGAATGCTCCCGTGGTACTGAAATGATTTTAGAGAACCCTTTCAAATCAATACATCAACCTGTCCATGGAAAGATTGATAGAGTGGAAGAAGTGAAGTGTCAACTCCAAGAGAAATAGTGGAGGAAAAGGAAGGAGGAAAAACAATAGGACAAAAAAGAAGCAAAGGAAGTGGAAGAAGTGGAAAAGGATGTGAAATGCACTGTATATTGAAAAAACTGAAAAGAAGGAAGAAAAATGGGACACATTAAAGAACAAAAAGGAAGAAATTTTAAATTCAATTATAAGGAAGAAAAGAAAAACACAAGGGGGTTCATGAAAAGTATTTGGCGAGATATGAGGCATCTGCATTAGGTACTTGAAAAGGAATCAGATTCAAAAGCAGTTTCTAAAATATTTCTAGTGAATAACTGGTTAAAAAGACTCTGCTTTTCCTGTGAGAGCAAAGCAGGAAAAAAGGGGGATTGTAATCCAAATTGCCAAATATCCATTGAATAAGAATCTTCCCCAGGAACCAGTACAAAGCTCTGTTTGTTTATTTCTACTCATAGAATCTGATATTAGAAGTTATTCAATTGCTTGAAAGCAATTTGTTTTCATAACTTGTGGCTGGAAAGCCAAATCTCAAGAAGCGCTGGAAACTTTTCTGAAAAGTATTTTAAACCTGTTATGATGATAACAAGAGTGAAAGATGGCCTTAACTCAATGATGTCTCCCAGAAAGAGGGTTGGTGCTTTGTGAATTTTTAGGGAGTCTGCTTATGCTTATTTTCATTTTTCTTGTGGTTTGTTTTTTGTTTGTTTGTTTTTTTGTTTGTTTGTTTTTTCCCACTGGTTAAATCTCAGTTATTGAAACCAGCAAATTCATGCATGAACAGTGGGTGATTCCCTTGCATAATGTATTAAAAGAAAGAGGTAAGGAGAAAGACCTATCATTCTATCTATCTATCTATCTATCTATCTATCTATCTATCTATCTATCATTTATGAGTTTGAGTGACAGCAATTGAAATCTATGTTGAAAATGCAACGAAAGACTAAAAGTAATCACCTCTCCCACTGCCCATCTAAACCAACTTTCTCAATTTAGAAAACATCATTAACCCCTTGTAACGTGGCAAAGTAGTAGGTAGTGGCATTACCTGGTACCTCCTTTGTTCTTATAGTTCTCCTTTTCTTAGGGAAATACTGGTTTTCTGGCATGTTCTAGACTCTGAGAAGTTGCTTTTTCCCAGGTCAGAAGAGATGAATTTGTCACTAGACAAGACATATTTTTATGTTCAGCTCCCACACAGCAGCTGGAGCACAGAGGCAGTTTGAGAGGCAGGGCTGAGATTGTGTGTGGGTTTAAATTTCACTCACTCTGACTGAATGCCAGTGGCTTTCTCATTCCTCTTCTGAAGAGATTAAGACCTCTAGGCACTTAATGTCACTGAATCCTTGCCTGTACTCTGCAGGGAAGCTCAGTGTCATCACCCTGCACTTGTGTGCAGATTCTGTAGTCTGACTGCAGTGGACAATTTCAGTAACACTGATCACACTGTTCTGCATCTCTTTTCTTTTCCTGTGGGGCTAGTTTAATAAAGCTCCCACCTGTCAGATGAAATCTATTTTGCTTTTCAGTGTCTTGCTTATCGAGAGAAAAAATTCACATCTTTTGGGAGGAGTGTAATGAAACACCTGTTCAAGTGCCCAGTAAAAGTAGAGTTCAGTTTGCATGAGGAAGTGGAGGGAACCCAGTTAGTCAATAGTGAAACAGGACAACTTTATAAAATCAGCAGTGCTTTCACCTTGAACTCCCTGTCCTATCTGGATTACTCACATGGAAAGGTGAATGAAATTTTTTGTAGCATTCTGTATTATTGCAGAGGCAGCCAAAAGTTTTTTGATTATATTTAGTGGACTGGATTTGTCGGAGTAGAGAGGAACATGGAAGAGTAACCCAAGTAATCATCTAGTTTTGATGTAAGAACACACTCAGATTAAAAATGACTGTTTCAACACATAGGAGGAACCACACCTTACACAGCAGAGTTTTCTAAATAAAATACAAATAAAGTAGTTTAAATAAAAATTTATACCTAAAGTTCTTGTTCTGGAAAAGGAGGCTGTAGTTTTTCTATATTTTATCAGTAATTTAACTATGTACTATTATGACATCAAATGTAAATTCAGAAAACATGCTCATTGATCACTACCAATATTATTGATCTACAGAATTTCAAATCTGCTTTCCGATACTTTATCTGAAAACCGATGTGATAATGAAAAGATGAAATTAGATAATTAGATGTGTAACACCTTTCCCTGCTATCCTTCTAAAACCAAATTTTTCTTCCTTTCTCTGTTTTTTAAAAAATATTTCTGCCCCGATTTTTAATGTTTCCCCTCAATCCTCAAACATCCATGATTCTTTGATGATGTCTAATTTTGCCAGCATTTTGAGCAGTAATTTTTGCTGAGTTTTATTAACCAGAAGTGTACTTTGATCTTTTCTTTGCATGTCCATACTTCTCAACATCAAACAGCAAAAATCCTGGGAGTGCTAGCAGTTAAAAGAAAAAAAAAGTTTTAAACAATCATTAAAATTCATGGGGCAAGTTCGGTTTTTGCTCATGACATTGTGAGAAATCAGAAGTTTCAGGGCCTAAAGACAGCTGAGGTAGGGTAGGAGGAACCATCAGTGATCCCTATTTTGGTTTTTGGGAGAAAGGGAAAAGCATCAGGTGCTACATAAACAAGAATCCCCTGGAAAAAATGGTGAAACAAAACTGAAGAATAGTCTGTAGGAAATCAGTGAGTATCTCCGCCCATTCCAATCCTTACCTTACCAAAGTTTTCTTTCAATAAAGATAATAAAAAGGACACAGCCGTATAAAGGTCTGTGGGGATCTAGCCACATAAATGAAATCTCAAGTTGTGTTCAAGTTGTCCCATTTCAGTCAGTTTTATCTATTTTCAAACTATTACTTTTTCAAGACCTCCATTGCTTCTCTATGAATTACACTAACTTGAAAGTTGAGGGTGGCAACTGTGAGGGAAAAAAGGCATTTTTAACTTTCTGGGAGCTTTGTTAATTTAATTTTGGTGACTGAATGGCATGAGTACTGTGCTAGATTTTCGGTAAAAGGCTGGTTCTTTCTCTAAAATAATTTGTCTCAGTCATATATTTCTGCCTCTCTTAGGTGTGCTCTTTGCAGAATTTCTCACAGCACGTGTCTAGCAGAATGTTTCAAAAGCAGTTTTGAGGGAAGCAAAAGAGGTATTAATTTCCCTCCCTGCCCCTTGTTTGAAAAAGAGATCAGTTTTACACTTACTAAATTCTGCCCTGCTTTGAGAAGTGGGCTGATTCCTTCATGGAAGCGATGCAGCATCTGCCTATATACAACATTTTTAGGAACAGCTATGGATTCTTCAGCTTACTCATGTAAGTTTGTCCCTTCTTCTTGTAGTGTTCCCTAAGCCTATGGAGAAATTCCCATGCATTAAGAAAAGTGAGGGGGTCATAGAATCATGGAATGGTTTGGGTTGAAAGAGACATTTAAAGATATTCTGGTCCAAAATCCCTAACCCTTCCATTAGACGTGGCTGCCCACAGCTCCATCCAGCCTGCCCTTGGATGTTTTCAGGGAGGGGACACTCACCACCTCTTTGGGCAACCTGCTCCAGGGTTTTACCACCTTCACATTAAAAATGTCTTTTTTATACCTAGTCTCAAATGATGGTCTTGAAAATAAATGTTGGTTTTGTGTATAACTTTTGGTGTTTCTGCCTGCCTTAATACCTTTTTTAATTCTCTCTCTGTTGCTGAAAGTGGGGGAATATTCTCTTTCAGTTTTTATTTTCCTTGAAAATATATGCTGGTCTGCTTTACAGATGACCAAAACATTCTGGACCTTGGTTTTTTTCCCAGTGTGCTAAAAAGTAAGTCTACAAGTACTAAGTGAAATTTATTGAGCTCTGTAATGTTTCGCTTATAAAGTTCAAATTATGCAATATTACTTGCTTTCTTGGGATTATAAAGTAAAGAAAAATGATAAAGAAATGCATTATTATATAAAGAAAAGTTGCCATAGGTGAGAAAAGCTATATAGCTGATAACACCGGTCCCCGTGTCAGACAACACGTGGCTGTTCCTACAGTCACGTAGGAATCAGAATCCTTGTGGCTCTACATCCCCAGCATCCCTTCAGGTTTTTTCATGCATTATGGATTCTTCTCTTGCAGAAAACATCCCTGCTTTGATGTGTCAGAGGTTATTTTTTTTCACAATTGTTTTTAAAATTGTCGTATCTTCTTAGCTGAAATATTGACTTTAAATATTTTTTCCTCAACTTCATGCAAATTGCAGCAGGGGGAAGAACTTTGCGTTAATGGACCAGACCTGTGACCTCCTAAGGCATGAGAAGTAAATTAAAAAGTAGCTAATGACTTCGTTATCATGTGTGTGAGCAGGTCAACATGAAAAATAGCAAGGATGGTAAAACAGATGACAAGGTAGGGAGAGGAATATTTATACAGCTTTTTCTCAAACTATGAAAGATGTTTTCTTAATTTTAGACTCTGACAAAGAACCTGTGTGGAAGCTTACCTCAGACTTGCGAAAGTCATCATTTTCTATTTGAAATATTTGGGTACTCTCTTGAAGCAGGGCACAGAGACCCCATCTTCACTAAATTCCCCCAATATTTTTGTTTTAAAATAAATTTTAAATAAAGCATCAATGAAATATTGAACCCAGAATCTCCTTGCTGTAGTTTCACTACATAATAAATGTGGCTTTAATAAAGACAGTGAAGCTTTTGTAGTTCCATAAAAGTTCAACTATAAATTAATATTAAATGGAATGCTGAAGTTTGAGCAGGTTGTATCCTTTGAACTTAATGGCCCAGATCCTTGGCTGCTGGTAAGAAACACACAGGGCAACTCAGGTGAAGGGCATTCATGTGTGTATTTCAGCATTTCTTACCAAACTGCTGCTCCATGTAGGACAAGGAACTTAGAAAACCCTAAAGTCTGGCTACTGCTAATTACAGTTACAGCCATTGCAGCTGAAAGGTGGATGGTAGACTTGTAGACTTCATGGCTTTTTGCAGCCTTTATTTTAAGATGATCATTCCTCTTTGTGGGAGTAACTTCAAAAATTACTGCTAGGAGATACCCATGATCTCAAGAAATCATGTTTGCACATGAAGCTATTTAAGACTCATGCTATTCTGGCTATTTCATGCTATTGAGTAAATTTTTTTTATGCCGCTTCTAAAATTTCCTTGCATGAGTTTTCACAGGTAGTCAGCTTCAGATAATCTTTATGGCAGCACAAGGCTGTGAATGATTGGCTCACACATCTTTTTAGAGGAGCAACATGTCATGAGATACTAATCATTACCAGAATTACATAAAAGAAAATCAATGTTTAGCTTCCCCACTTATTTTCATTTATTTCCTCATATAGCCTATGTTTAATGTGCCGGTGGTAAGCTTTGTTATTAGCTTAAAAAAAAAGTTAATTAGAATACTACTGCTGTGTTATACCACATCACAAAATATATCCCCTATCTCGCACTTCTTCCCACTTTTCCTTCTCCTGACTGGTTTTGTGGTTGATTTGTTCAAGAGGAAGCTCACAGGAACCAGCAAAATGCATGCATGTGGTATTTCACAGGTGGATACCCTAAAGTCAGAACTATTTCCATTCCTCACATGCTGTACTCCTAGTGCAATTTGGTGTAAGTATGCAGTCATCAGCATTTGTAAAATTCACTTTATCTCAACAACAACAACAAAAAATTCCATCTACCAATGTTGGTAAATATATATTTAGTTGCTAATGACAACTTAATTCTCACCTTTTTCTATCAAAATCTGGGAGAGCAAATGGCTCTGTCAAACCCTCAATCTGGAGTATTTCTTTTAACATTTTGCCTGGATATCTCTGATATAGGCAGGATGTGGATGGGGTCAGAGTGCTGGAAATCTGTGTAGTATTTTTCTTATTAAAAACCCACATTTTTATTAAGGGACTTTTCCACCTGGAAATATCCACGTGCCTTTGTCCTCCACCTGAAGCAGAGGTTCACTGCAGCAGTATTACCAAAAACTCAGTGCTTACAATGCTGAAAACAGGCACTCTCCCTGAAATTTTTACCAATGAGGGCTCGATCCCCTCCTTCTGCATAAGCCATTTTGTTTTCCTGGCCTTGATGCCAAATTAGGCTGCACAAGAACTGCAGCATGTGGGAGAGTCCAGTTCACTGGAGCTGAAAGTCTTTTTCCTGTAGCTATTGCCACCACTATTGGGGTGCCTGCTCCACTGGCTTTGAGGTCTCTGCTGAGCCCCCAGCCCTGTCTCTCGTGTGTGACTGCTGCCTGGGTTGGGAACAGAGAGCAACAACTGGATTTTCAGGGTTTTGGTACATCAGTCTTTATGTGAGGCAAAACTTTGTGCAGTGAGGCCTTGGTGTCCTGGGACAGGCGTAAAGACTGCAGAAAATAACTCTTGGTGCACTCGAGTGGTAAAGCATAACCAGAGCCTCAAGACTTGGGGGCTGAAGTGAAAGCTCTGGGGAGATGTTAGAACCCCCAGCAATTAATTATTTCCATTAATCAAATTATGGCCAATCAAGCAATCAAATTATGAGCAGTATGATTGCTCAAAACATGCCAATTTTAGAGGAGTTCATGGAAATTTGAAGTGTATTCCCCAAAGGAGAGATATTGCCATCTGTGTAGGCTCAAACACCCAGCTGAATCCCAGAGTCAGAAGCAAGTTTTAAGGAGATAGATTTCACACTCTCTCTTTTCATTCACCATCAAACTTCCCATTCAGCATCATATCCGCTGACTATTGATTTTCGTTTTTCATCTGCTTAGCTGATGGAATTAGGGCTGTGTCACGTAAATAGGACAAACAACAAGCTTTAACCTTCTGGAACTTGCCTGCACCTTTTTCATAAATAAATAAAAAGAGAGGTTTTGATGAGGCTGAAATAACACCAAAATAAAAGCAGTGGTTTATTTACTAACAGAGCATGTAGTGCTACAGGCATCACTGAATGTTTTACATGGAGAGTGATTCTGGTGGTTATGTGAATTTTAATATGCTGCATAGACCATTGAAAACTGCTAAATGTTTTTTCAAGTTGGATATTGAATTGTTTTATGCAGATTATAACAATCATTTGAATGTTCTTGCAGGCAAAAGTTATATGTACTGTCAGCTCCCAAATATTAGCATTTTAATTTTTATTTTGATTGATGGAAGGATGAGGGGTTAGAGAATTGTTTTTGTTCAATGACATTGTCTTTCAAGGCTAATATCTGGATATTAAATGGCTTATCACTCTTTTTTGTATTCTTGGTATCCTAAACAGCTACCGAAGCTTTCTAGAATCACTACATGCATCATAGAGATATTTAGCACCATAAGGCTAATGGCTCTGTAAATGAATGTTGGTATAATTTGCAACTTTTCCCATTCAGCTTTAAAGCTGATCCAGAATTTCTTTACAGGCTAGCTCACCCAGCTAATAAAGCTTTTCTGTTAAGACTAGTGGATGTAGCATCCAGCCATTAAATATCTATTTACTAAAGGTAATTCAAATACAGTATCCCATTATTATTAGTTATTGATGAGCCTAAAATATTTTTCCCTTGCTTTCTCCCTCATGCCTCTCAATCCATGTGTGTCATTAAACCTAAGAATCTTATATACAAGGAAAAAACAAATATATAATATATAGGGGTGGGGCTGTGTGTTATATATATATTATTAAATTGTGTATCCTGTCTTTGACCTTAAAAAATAGGAGTTTTGCACTTGCCCTAATTCAAATTTTCTGTGGCTCATGAGAATAGTTATAAATACTGTGTCCTTTGAATCATTAGTAAGTTAGGGTTTAGTGCTTGTCAATCTAGTTAAAAGGCTAATGTCAAATTGTCTCTTTTTTTGTGCTATGCTTGTTTTCCATAAATTGACAGAAAACAATTTATTCAGTCTTTCTTCCACTAATTGATTATGCAGATATTATTTATCATGCTCTGCAAGCACATCTTTGCATAAATTGGATGTGCTTTATCATTCTGAGTTACATTGTATTTACAAATGCCCTATTTTCTGCTCATCATTGACGACTTTATTCCATGGTAAACTCATCTTCATTAGAAGGGCTTAAGCACAACTGTTCATTTATCAGCTGGGGAATTTGCTGAAAATCCCCACCATGTTTTCTATCTTTAGCAAATTATTTTCCCAACAAATGTGCTTTCAAATCCTACAGAGTTTTTCTCCATGAAAATACTGTAACTAGGAAGAATGATTTTCTCTTAGCACCTCACCCTCAAGGTATTTCTTTTAGCTGCTATTAAGTTTTACAAGTGACTAGTGTTTTACTGTTTAACTAAAAGAGACAATGACAGCAAGGAGGTGCAGCATCCCTGCTATTTTCTAGAATGGCAGTATTGAGATCATCCCAGTTAGGAGTGTTTCCAGACTAGCAATTTACTTGGTTAAAGGAAGGCTTGTCTGAGTATCTTCTCTGTTTATTGTCTTTTTCCTAGTCATGAATGTTCCTGATAACAACAATGAATATTGCCCACGCGTGATGTTTCAGAATTCGACCGAGTCCAGGGAATTTATTCAGAAGTATGATTCATTTTCAGGTACTTTATAGCTTTTTTTCTTCCCAGCTAAGAAAGTATTTTGTCATTGCTCTAGTGAGATGTAATTACAGTAATTCATCTGCAGTCAAAAAATTTCAGGCTCGAAAATCTCCTCTGTGATTGCACAGCCATAAATGTTATGTTAAAGCATAAGAACTACCATTAGTGTAAACAAAAGCTCAGCGTCCTGTGGCGTAGGAGGCATTGCCCGCTTCCCCGTGAACTGGCAGCCTGTGGGAGCTCCTGCGCGCCCAGGCCCCAGAATCCGTATGTCAAAGCCCAGCCATTTCCTGCTCCTTCCTGCAGACAGCGCGGTGCCAGCGGCAGCTCCTCTTGCCGGAGAAGGAGCCGGCAGTGCCAGCACAGCCCAGCTGTGTGCCCACAGAACCCCCGACAGCGCCCGCCGGGGCGGGCCGGCGCTCCTGCACGGAGCGGGCAGCGGCACACGGCTGGCCCTCCGCTGGCACTCCGGCTGACGCGCCAGGCGAGGGGCCCTGGCCTGGAAATCCACGACCAGAAGGTGACGGGGCAGCAGGCCGCTGCAGCAGCGTTGTGACAAGTGGCAGGAAGCAGGGCTGCTCCTCTGGCCTGTGTGCGGGCAAGGCTCTCGCGGCGGCAGCCGCAGAGCCGCCACGGTGCTGCAGGGAGGAGCGGCGCCGGGCCGCGTGCTCTGCCACGATGGCCAGAACAGGGGAAAAGGAAGGTTTGCTGCCTTACCATGCTTTGCTTTTTATTATTTTCTATGATTTTTCTATGAGAAGAAGAACCAGTGTCTGATGAACGTCTAAAGGAAATAGGCATCACTCTGTAGAGAGCAGTTGTGTCTCTTATCTACCTTGGAATAATGAGGCTGGAGCTCTGGTGCCTCCTCTGACATTTTCTGTGTTCAATTGAGCCACCACTTTGTTTGCTGTTGTGAAGTTACCTTTGGTGGTGCTAATTCCACACCTGCATTGCATAAGGAATTACTTTAAACATCTTTACAGGCCTCTACATTAACCTGAACAATCTTGCTCATGTTTGTGTACAACTGCTGGTTAACATTGGCTTTTAATTGAAGCAGCTTTCAAAAATCCAGAATAATTTTGAAATCTTCTTTTCAAGGAGAAAAAAACCTCCACAAACCAAACAAGCAAACAGTTATAGGTCACCCCTTAAACCGCAGGGAGAATCTCAGAATGTATATGTTATTTATACAGCTTTATTTGCTTTCCTCTATGTTACATAGGATGGTTACACCCGTGCTTCTCTTAACATATGAATAATAGAATGCTGAATGCTCATCTGGTCTTCTTGCAGGGCTCTGATAAGGTTTTACTAGAATATTTCCCCTCCTATCCCTTGCCATTTAAATTAGCTTCCCATTGCAAAGAAAAAAATATTCCTTATATGATATGAATATGGAACCTGTGTAGTTAAATTTCTATTTCTACAAGCAATGACTGCTTGCTTCAGTGTTCACAGAAAGAGATTCTAAAAGAGGCCCAAGCGTAGCTGGAATGAATTCAGATTTGAATTTCAACAGACATTCATTGAAAGGTTTTTCCTTTAAAGGCATTGAGTTCTTCTGATGGCAAAGGATTCACCTAGCTCATGGTTTGTAAAGGACTGTCTGGACTTTATTGCCAGTTGTGAGTCACTGTGCAGGCTCACCAACCGTACAAGGAAAAATCAAGTCCCTAACCACAGATCTTCTCTTTCTATCCCCTTCCTCAGGGCTTGCTTTATTTCCAAACCCACAAACTCTAAACCAGAACAAATCAACTCAAATTGCTCAGTAATAATCACCTGAGGCCCTGCCAGCCTCAGCCAGCTGGGAGGTGGCAGCAAGCAGCCTCATCTTAGGAGATTTTCTTTTGTCCCAGCTTTGTCAGCTCTTTCATGACTCCATCAGAAACACAATCCCAGCCCAGTAACCTTTAGGGTGCCAAATTAGCTTTAGCCAATGACCATCTCCTCTGCTCTTTGGTGAGGGCTGTCGATTTATGCTGATTTACCACATTTTCATACAGGTAACTCACATTCCCCACAAAAATGAGATCACTTTAAAAAGAACCGATACTTCAATAATAGGCCCTTTCATAACCTGAAACTGTGAGTACTAATGCTGAACGGAATTCAGGGAATTTCTGGGAAATGAGGAGATCTGCAGTAATTTGGAGTAGCTTTTGGCTTGATTAATTGACATATGTAGTAGTTTTGAATTGCAAGAAGTTTATGGTTTTGTTTTTAAGGATGGCCAGTACATAATTTAATATCATATGTGTTCATCTTACCACTCTAAAGGAGGGAAATTAAATTAAGACAGGATACAAGAGAAGATAATGTAAATATAAGAGTTTACATATATAAATGCATTTATTTATAGATGTGAAGCTTTTGGGATATGCAGAATATTCAAGCACAAGCACTTGTGTAGACATGTAAACCACTAATGGTGCATTTTTCACAAATCCACAGGGAAGATTTTTTTTTTCCTGAAGTCCTCCTTCCTTCCTAGAAAAGGAAACCTGCTGCAGTGTTTTAAGAACGCTTGAAGGATCATGTGAGTTGTTCTAGAGAAGAGAGCTATCCTGTCTGTCAGATGGCAACATATAGCCTTCACAAACCAAATTGATTTGGCTTTTATTTGCTTCTGTAGCAGCTGAACAAATATTCCTTGTACTGCTATAAGTGGTAGTCTAATTTCTTCCAACAGACCAGATCCATTGAGCCAGCAGGTCAGTGCAAAACACTGTTAATGACAGTGTGCTGTGAGTATGTTGCAAGTAAAAGCCAATAGTTTTTACTTAAAATTGCCATGAAGGATTTGGGGATGCTCTATTGCCAGTAGAGCATGTAAAACCTGATACCATTCTGCTTAGCAGCAGTTTAATTGTTACCTGTAAGGTAATTTTAAGCGGTAACAAAATACAGACTAAAAAGCTCCTCTTAAATAAAAACCCTTTGAAAAATGAAACTCTAAGGAAAGATTAATGTCAGACAGAGAATTTAAAGCTGAATAAAAACCATTAAGGCAATGAATAAAATTAAGCTGTACTTGAAAATTGATTAAGTCTTGCTAAGTAGCCAAAAGGGAACTACCAAAAGATCCCTACTGCCATAAACTATTAACTCTTACACTCAGGGCCCAACTCTCTAAATTGGGTCTTTCTTTTCAGTCTGGAGCTGGAAGGTGTTTAGTCCTCTTCTCACTCTGCTCACCTTCTTTGTCTCCATCTGTAAGACTGATTCCTCCTTCGTGTTTGGAATTGCTTCCTGCAGTGTTTAGCAGCAGAGGAGCTGGGGATGATGCATGTCCCCTGTGCCTCCCAGTGTGCAGGTGCAAGCAGAGAGCAGAAATGCAGCTGACATCACTCACTGCGGCCTCCCATCTTCTTGATTGCTCTGTACTTCCACTAACATAGGAACTGAGGACAGGGAAAAAAAAAAAAAAATATATATATATATATATGGCCCTGCCTGTTGCGTGCCATGGGACAGGAGACAGTGTTTGGAGGAGGAACAATGTCACTTGTTATGGTGCTAATACTTCATGCTGCTAATCCTAGCTGCAACATTTTCTATAACCAGGTTTCCAAAGTACCAGGCTAATTTTATAACCATAATATCTTTTTATGGTGTTCAATATAATATAGCATAAGAAATACAGCTTGTGGCAGATATGGTGCCTTAGCAGGCTCTGAGAGGCCAGTCTGCTGGCTGTCACTAAATCTAACCTCTGTTGGAGATCTTGCCAAAGCAAAGCAATTGGAATTAAGAGTTTTGAAGGCTGAGTGTGATCACTTAAGTGTAGGTGGCCTGTTGATTTAAACAGGAACATATTTAGGTACTAATGGCAGATTAAGGATGTATTTCAACAAAGCAAGAAGAAAGGGAGGTATGATAAATAAGGAAACGTAGTAAAATAAGCCATAAACCAGACTTTCTCCAGTGTGCTATTTCACTAAGAGTACTGACTTCACCAGCAAATTTTCCCCATGTTCCTCTTGGCAAATTGAGTGTAAGTAAAAGCCATAGGTTCCAAAGCCAAGAGAGGGGTGAGGAAAGGGTATAGGAGATCATGACCTTCACTGCCCCTTTCCAGGGTCTGTGACAGATACTGGAAGTCAGCAGAGCAAGGAGTTGTAGTTTTTCCAAATTTCTGAACAGCAAGGAGTGCTCACATGGGTTTTCGTGTCAGAGACTGTCTCACTGCTGAACAACTTGCTGAAGTTAAAATTTTAATGAAAATTGAAAGTTTAAGTGCCACAATTTTCCATATAATTTTTCCCCTAACATGATTTATTGACCACTTATACATGATACATTCTCCTGTCACAAGTAACACTCTATATATTTATTTTCATGAATAATGACTACCATTTTAATTGATAGTTTCAAACAGAGAAGGAGATTTATTTCTACAATGAATGAAACTGCCCCCAATATAGAGACTCTATAAATTATTTTATGTACTTCAGTTTTCCTCTTGCAACACAGTATGCTCCTAATCTTAACAGAAATCAATCAAATAAGATCTAATACATCACTAAACACCAGCTTCTCTAAAGTATACTAGGACATTCTTCTATAATGCTTGTAAAATCTGTCTTAAGCAGTATTGCCAGGAGCCTTTGACGTGGCTGTTATATGTGTCTGTAAGATGTCTGTTTCATTCCCTGGTACCTTATTTGTCAGCTTTTTTGGCACCCTACCTATACACTTATAACATAATTACTTTAGTCAAACACATCTCAATTATGCTACCCTTTCTCAGCTAAAAAATTTAAATTCAACGGTGTTAAAAATTAAATATTGATTCCAGCAGTGCATGAGCTCATGTGGGCAGGTGATGTATTATGCATTCACTTCTGAGTGTGACACCTAGAAGTCAAGTCTGCAAAGGATTCTTACCTGAAGAGATCACAGTTCATGACTGAAATCCACATTACTTGCAAATGATCTCATTCTGATATAGGAGCCCAAGCCAACAAATGCTGTGTGCTCACAAATGCCTCAATCATATGCTGCAGAACTATTAAAGGAAAAAGCCTGCATACATTCCTGTGTCTAGTATAAAACACTACAGCTTGCTGTGAATCATTTCAAAATAGAAATAAAAAGTTACAGAGCATGCACTAGCTGGTGTCTTTAAGAACAAGCAAAGCCCCAAACAAACACAAATTCCTGAACAAATTACATTGCAAAACATTGATCCAAATATCTTTGTAATACGTCCAGTAACCAGTAATTTTAGAGAGCTATCATTTATTCTTCAAAGTCAGGATCATTCCTACAGTTCTATTCCTCTTTAATAAGGATTTCCTCCTTGTAGCCTGACAAAAGTTTCCTAAGGCATTACTCCAATCTCTATGTAAACATTTGCATAAGGGATTTTACATCCATTCAGAAATCCCACATTTATGCACCAGTTCTGGAAAGTTTTGATGGTGGCATTTTACTATTTTTCAGTATTTTAAGAGACTGGGGATGGGAACACTGACAGATATGATGAGTAAAGGGCAGAGGACAGAGTTTGTGAATGTACTATAGTTGAAATAAATGTGAGCACCCAAAAGTGAATTTCAAAATGTAACAATAGGTTTTGGCAAAGACAGAGTTAGAATCCATGTAAGAGAAAAATTTGGGCAGATGCCTTGCCTTCAGTAAGACACTACCACCTACTACTTTAGTTAACTATATTCTAATCTTACTTCACTTTAGTAAACTGTATATAACACTTGGAGCCAGGTTCTACTTCCTATTTCTGTTCACAGAGCACTCTGTATTTTTTTTTTTAGTTGAGAGATGATGTTCTGTGGTAAAATATTAGTAACATAATGTATCAAGATGTTATAATCATAAGACTATTGCTTACAGATCTGGCATTCATGCCAGATGTGCTGTATAATGGATGTACAGCAATTTAGCATTTGTACCTCATGTGTAATGTTGTCTTTGCTTTCATATATATTGCTTTAGCTACAGCTATGGTATTTGAAAGAAAATGTGACTGCAGGACTGTATAGGAATTTGAATAGCTTTTATCTATGTCTGCATTAACATGCAATTCCTTTTCTCCCTCTAAAACAAGCCATTTTCTTGAGAAAACAGAGGCGTGATTGCTGGAAACTGTAGTTTTGTATTCTGTTGTTTGAGCTATGAAATCAAAATATGTTTTAATAAATTGCTCCATCAATACATTCAGCTGTTAAGCTAAAGCAAAGACATAAAAGTCGATCAAAAGACGCCACTCACTGCAGGGAGCAAGTGAAGCAGTAAAGAATTAAACCTAAAGCTACATAGCTCCTTTCCTTTGGTAGCAGCAAAGTAATTTGCATTATTCATTTCACCCAGGGAAGACAAAAAACCCCCCACAAAACCCCCCAAATCCAACAACATGAATAGATTGAAAGGACCAGATGGAATCTAGCTGGCAAACAAAGCAGAGGTAAAGTGAGTGAAGCAAAGAAAGCTAAATCAAATGTAACAAGGCTGCAAAAGGGTTCTAGAAATATCTAGGGAGAATAGAAGGAGACCACTGAAAAGTAACAAAGGGACCACATAAGTGAAGGCTGCAAGATGGATGAAAAATGTTCAAAACTACTTCTTCTTAGTTTTCAGTATAATAGAAAATGATGAAAGTGGAGAAGATTGTGGAGAATATCATGTAGGAAGACAGAAAACTATTACAAGCAGTGGGCCAGAATTGTGCTTAACTTGAACACAAGGGCCTCATGTTCTGCCTTCTTTCTCCTTGTGGGTCCCTTCCAACCCAACACAGTCTGTGATTCTGTGATACGTTGAATAATGCTTATATTGCAAGCAGCCCCCTCTTCTTCAAAGGCAGGGAAAAAAGGGAAATGCTGGTGGTATAAAATGAAAGACAGAGTTACAAAGTGTAATGCAAGCACACTGCCCTGAGAGCATCCTAAAACCTCTCATTAAAACAGTATGGAAAACGTTACCAGAAACGAGTAGCTGTTCAGAGTAAATTGTGTTTTCCCTCATTTCAGGTGTGTTGTGATAGAAGTGGGAGACAGCCATGGTAGTGCAGGTGTCTTTAACACGTGTGCTGTGTCACAGAAGGTTTAGGTTAGATGGTGGGAACATTTCTTCACCCAGAGAGTGGCTGGGCACTGACAGAGCTCCCCAGGGCAGTGTCACAGCAGCTCCAGCAGCATTTGCACAATGCTCTCAGGCACATTGTGGGAATGTTGGGGGTGGCAGGAGCTGAACCTTGTAGGTCCCTTCCAGCTCTGGATATTCTATGATTCCAGCACCCCAGCACCATGAAAAAACTACAGAAGGCATGCTTTAGGGTATTAATGAGAGCCAAATGAGGCACAGACCATGAATTCATTTAGATTTTATTTTATTTAGTCTGAAAATACAAAAAAATTATTTTTATTTAAAAGCCTAAGCATATTGTGAAAGAGTATTTCAGAACAATTATGTGGATGCAAACATCTTCACTCCCATACCCTTGGTTCTGTAAAATTCCCCCCTACTCCACCTTGTTATTTTGCTTTTAAATGCTTGGTGTGATCTGGCACTACTGAGCTCTTCACAGGTTATGGGCCATCTCTTGATTTAAGTTCATGTTAATTGAGAATGTCTGTGCTCTTTAGGCAAATATTTCCAAGGCATTCTTGCCTTCTCTAGTAAAAAACACATAAGCTTTTTAATGCCAAACTCATGATCATTAAACTTTTTTTTGTACTACAGTACCTACTACTATGAAAAATTTTATCCTTATTTATGTTCCTGCAGACCAGGAGCAATTAATCTGTTATCCTTCTCCATGTTGACCAAAATAATCACCCAGTCTAAAATGGATATTCCAGATCTTGGATAATAGTTGTGACTTTGTTTTTCTGAACTCTTTCCAGTATGTCTGCAGTCTTTCTAAGTGGAGGATAAAGACTTTAAATGTGAGAAATGTAATTGCTTTCCAAAGGTAACAGACTAAGGGATTAGTACTAGTCAATAAATGAGGAAATGTTTATTTTAGGGATGCCAGACACATGGCTTTCAGAGGGCTGGCTGCAATTAGATACTGTCAGAGGAAAAAAGGAAATGCAGTGTAATCTGCATTCTGATGTCCCCACAGAGAGTCTGATATGTAGCTCATAGTACCAAGAAGGACTCTTCCAATTGATTAGAACAGTTTTGAAGCAGCAGGTTTTATGTAAAGCCAGGGAATCAGCCAAGGACTTTGCCAAGCTCTGGTGAAAACAGAATTATGGATTCTGTTTTTCACTGCTTGTGAGAGCTCTGCAAACAGGCAACAAAGAACACTGAAAGGATTAAAAGACATAGCTGTAAGGTCCCCAAAACCACTTCACAGGCCTCTTGAAAGGTTTTCTAGGGCCTAACCTAGGAAACAAGAAGAAAAAGAAGAGAAAAGTATACAAGAAGTCCAAATAACATACAATTGCTATTTCAATAATCGTCAGTCTAGCTACAATAAAAATGTCAATCTATGCAAGTCATCGCTCCCCACCCTGTGAGTCTCTAAAACTCAGGCAAGTTGTGATGCAAAAGAGGATTTGGGGGAGGAATTAATGAAATCAGCCTTTCAGCTGCAGTGACCAAGGAGTCCAGCAGATTGGCTGGTAATTTCCTTCTTGTTTCCTGATACAGTATTTTTCTTCTGTAAGGTCCTGCCTTTTACATACTCCTCGCTCATTTATTAATACAATATCAAACATTAGACAATTTAATAAACCCATTTTTGATACTTGCTGGACTTGTAACATGAGCTCCAAAATAGCATGGCGAGTTCAATTTAGGTTCTTTATTACTTACTGATATTGCAAATGAATTGCACTCCTTGTGAAAAAATACAAACTTCAAGGATAGGCCAATTTTCAATGGTTAGGTTTCCTTGACTTTTGGAGCCTGTAATCTTAGAGGGCCAGGTATTATTATAACCCAAACAAATATACATGTCCCAGATTACCATCCTCATCCCTCCCACCAACCAGGTTTCAGGGGAAGCCTCAGGATCCATACTGAGGGAAAGAGGGAAAAGTCAGCCCATATGTCTGTGTTTGGGGCTGGATAAGCTTTCTAAGTTTTTAGCAACTCCATCAGTGGAGAAGAGTTCATGTCGATTTCTGCCTGGGTTTCCAGGGCCATTCTATCGTTTTAGATCAAAAATTAATTTTTCCTTTATTTCCCAACTAACAGATACCTCCGTCTAAAACACGTCACCTCAGGAGCACTCTTCTCACTGTGCCAATTAAAATGTAAGGCACCAAAAAACTCTCCTAAAAGGGCTTATAGATTTCTTATATACTCTGAGGCTTACACACAGAGCAATACTGACAAGATAGTCTCAAGAGGTCAAAACAACAAAAAAATTTACTGGTAACTTCAGAAAATCAGAGAGCTTTGGCAGAAGTTTAGAGTAGCATTCAATCAACATAAAACAATTCACAAAGCCTTAGCTTAGCCCAAGCAACTTAGATAACTCCAAGCCCATCTGGTTTTAAGTTATTCAAAACTACAAGAAGACATAATTAGAAGGAGATGAAAGGGAAGGAGAGAAATAATATAGAAAATAACAAATATAGCTAGCACTCCTGAGTTCCAGCAGTGTTCAGCTTCCCAAGGGGAAGTGGGGTTAAGCTGTGTGCTTGCCCTGTGTCCTGGGCTGAGTGCCCTTTGGCTTTCCTGGCCATTCCCCCAGATGGGATTTTGGGTCA